TGAAGTAAAAAGAGGCCATGTGCTAAGAAAATTCACCTGCATAAATTCAACAAATTTTTTCTAGTGAAACTCCTTTCAGCATTTTAGCCTCATCATCTCTGAGACCTGCAGGACACAGGACCAGGAGTAAGCTCAAAATAAATGGAATAATTCAGTATCCTCAACCTTAACACTTCAAAGATCATGACTGATTCTTCCTCCCCTGCTATTCTCTGCATACTGCAACTTATCATTATTTTTTATGTAGTGGTGTTCTGTTGTTTATTTGTTTGTTTGTTTTTTTCCCCAGCTAAATGTGTGGATTCCTGTATTTGCTTTCACAGCAATTTAGTTCCAAAATGTATTCAGTTCATTGATCTGGAAACACTTTTTTTTTTTTTTAAATTAAATAATGTCAGCAGAGACCCTCACAAGCATGTGGGAAACAAATAACTTTCAGGAGACGTAGAATAATCTACCTGTGAGACTGCCACATCACTCATGGAATGACTCCTTTGTATTTCCTACAATGTCTTGAAGCAGTAAAGGATTTGCCTTGCTTTTATTTTTCACTTTAAGTCTTAAACACCAGATCTGTTTATTCTTACACTGAATTGTTTGCCTTTTCCAAGTTACAGTGGATGTGTGTGTTTGTGAGGTGAAATCAAAGCAGGAGCAGCCATGATTTGAGATAGCAGGGTGTCGGGGTGCAGTCCCTGGGCTAGTTGCTGTTGAGCCTTAGGAAGGACCTCACAAGGAAGATGTTTCTTTTACCAGGAAGTTTTAAAGCAGAAGGTTGGTTTAGCCAGCTAAGCTCAGAAGGGCATGATAACAACAGAGCAGTAGGTGGTTATTAAAAGATTTATAACAAGGTTAAGTAGCGGTAGTAAAAGTGTTAAGCACAAATTCCTGTTTCTCCTGCATCTGTTAGTTTTCTCTAGCTGCAGTAGCAAAAACAAAAGCAGCAGAAATATGTAGGATGAACCAGGGAAAATAATCTTATTATCTACCAGAAATGGTGGTACTTCTGGAGTAAGTATTGAATACATTTTTATCAGGCTATCCCTAATTACTTTGTTAGTACTCATTTCAAGTATATCAAAAGAGGACACTCCTCCCTCTTCCCCCTCCCCCTTTTCCCCCCCCCCGATGAATCTTAAAATCACTCAAATGTTGATTTAAAGCAATCCAAATGGAACAATTCATTTTCAAAGGTAAAGCAGGCTGGGCAGTGTACTTTAGCAAAACCCATGTTTTGTAGAGGTAGAGCATAGTAAATACAGCAAAACATAGAGGAAAATATGTTATTGAGAGTCAAAAGATGTAGTTTGAGGTCTCCTATCAATCATCAGGACAGATACTTCAAGTTTTTTGGCACTGAAGTTATGAATTATAATAGAAAGCACCAACAACATAATAAAATCCCCCTAAGAGAATGGTCTCTTTCAACCCTGATAACCAGAGTGATTCTGTTTTCATAAGTGGGTGGTGGAAACTCTATAAAACATTTTGGTCATATCTCGCAGAGAAGCAGTCAATGTTTTCTGACACAATCATTCAAGATGTCCTTGTCAGAAGTTAATGTCTGGGTTACCATATTATAAAAATCCTGAGATCAGAAATAAGCCATAGAATCAGGGATAATGTAAATGTTTCTCATACCATTTTTCTTCAAAAGTCAGTCTTTCTCTGAAAAATACTGCAATTTATAAAGGTAATAAAGGTAATAAATTATGGTTAAGGGACTGACTTAAATCTGCAATGTCCTTTCTTTTGCTATTACTAAATCCCAAAAGCCAGTAACTTCTTTTCTACCTAGGTGTTGTCACTTGCCTTATTTCATACTGCTCATCACAGCTGCACTCACTCTGGAGTACAGTAATCAGAAATACACGCAACTTCTATGCCTAAGATGGAAGTCAGTGCCAATCATCTCTGTCTAGAAATTGAAAACTGAATTTCAAACTGAAGCAAATTCACAAGCTTCCAGGCAGAAATTTTGTGGCTTGAAGCTTCCAGCTCCATTCTTGCTGCTGGTCTCGTTGGAAGCAGAAAGCTGTGCCTTCCTCCTTCCAGGGGCTTCTGCATTCCTAGCAACTCCTGTGTCTGCTTTCCACAAGCTCATCACTCTTCCCACCTTTTCTGTTAGGAAAGGCATAGGGTGGCATTTTTTTAATTTTTAGATTTTTGTAGTGGTGGGATTCTGGTTGGTGTGTGAGGAGAAGCACTGGACAAGATTCTTGGTGGAGACTGGTGGGAAGAGGCGTAGAGGCAGCCACACATCCTCCCGATGGAAGCTCTGCAAGGGTTCATTTAACATCCTTTAAAGCATGTCTGTAGTAGCTGGGCTAATTACCTCTTACATACAAATCTGTCTAATTTTGGACTGAAAGAGCATTTTGTAGAGGCCTAAGAAAAAAAATTGCTGCTTGACTGCATGGGAGAAGTGTGACAAGGCAAGGCTGTCTGCTAAAATTTAAACCTCGGAGGTGAAGAGGAGGGCTTCCTCCAGACTGAAAAAGAAGCTGTAAATAGAAAAATGGCACACATTTATAGAAGTATAATATTGCTGAATGCAGGAAAAGATCCGTGACAATAAGATTTATTATGCTGTGCGGCAGTCTCCTGGGGGAAGACGTGAAAGCCCCGATCTTTTAGTGCAATTTGAAGCACACTGAACAAAAGAAGATGTATTGCATGGAAAAGTCTTGCTTTGACAGGAAGATAAAACAGATGGACCGATAGATCCTTTACAACTGCAAATCTCTGATTCTCTGGCTTGGAGGTCCCTGTTGCTTAATTAGTTCCATTAGTTTCAGTTGAACTGTTATGATGTGATAGTTATTGTGCAAAGTTAAATCAATAGACACGTGTCTGTACCACACTGTAGTCTACATTGTATGGAGTAGGAGAAAGATGGGGAATTCACTGGCTATGTAAAATTTTCACCTTTGAAATTTAAGAACAAAAGGGAAACTGCTAAAATGTAAAAAGTGGTAAACTGTCTTATATGCAGCAAGGTTATACTGGAGAACATAAAACCTTGCAGTTATGCTAGCCAGTATCACTGGGTTGTGGTATCACTCCTTGGAGAGAAATTACATAGTGGATATCATAAATAGGTTGCCAATTGCTGACCACCAGTTTCCAGGGAGGAAAATGTGGTGAGCGTATAAACAACCATGACTTTAACATGGACTTAACTACTATATAGTGTTTCTAATATATACAAATTAATGTATAGTGGCTGAGCAAGTTTATTAGTATGGCAATTGTAGTTCAGTAATCTAATGTGCAATAGCTCTATTTAGTCCCTGTTTTAATTTCCAGTGGAAAACTTCAGGGGAACTTAACGATCATATGTCACTGTAGTGAGATCTTTATGAAATACTGAGAGTCTGCTGAGTTTCAGCTCTCCGTTTCATTGAGCTTCAGCTCAGGCCAGTGAGGACTCTACTGCTTACTACCTGGACAATGAAGGCAGGCACAAGCTCTGTTTCAGACTACAACAGGAAGACTACCATCAGTAGAAACTCCTTATCTCTACACCTCTCCCCTTTCTTTTTTTTTTTTTTTTTTTTTCTCCTCCCTCTCTCACTGTGTGTAAAGAACAAAATGACCTCAACACACCTTTTTGATTCTGAGGCTCCTCAATCAACAGGGCATTGCATCAGGAGAAGATGGTAACTGGTGTTAACAGTCCTCAGGTCTGTTTGGTACCTGGCTTCTCAGTTGGGATAAGTACAAGGATGGTTTTGATGATGTGAACACATCCACAAACTGATAATTGGATTTACTTCTATATATCTGGAGATTTCTTTAGTAGACTACCTACTTCATTGCACAGTTCTGTTCTTCGCAAGTACTGACAGAACAACTATATTATTCTACTTCCATGGAAAGGAGAAGATAGAGAAAGCAGAGTGTATCCGTCTCAAATTTGGGTTGAGAGTTGGTTTCTTTTCTTGTTTGGTGCACATTTCTTGTGGAACCCATGGTCAGCCTGTGTTAGGTCTTCTAATAAGGTATGTTTAATGGCTACTGCAGGGCTCTGTGTTTCTGAAACTTCTCAGTAACTTTTCATTACTTGAAAAACACCTAGAGTACTTGCAAATAAGAAACAGTATTGTATTATAAGGTTCTCTGTCAGGTTTAGTCACATCACTTAGACCTTACACTGTTGTACAGATGTAGCTTGTCTGAATTACAGGTCATAGATTCCTACTGTGCTATAGAATTAGTTTATTGATGATTATGTTTTAAAAAGTGACTTAGACAAATAATGCAGAAACTGAGCTTTCTTAAGGTCACAAATTTTGCCGTTCTTGCTCTCAGAAAAGATTTATTTCATTCACCCATTTGTGAGTCAGGATAATCATTGTAACAAAAAAAAATCAATATTTAAAAAGTTTTCATTTAAAAACTTGGATTTTCAGCCTTGCATTCTCATCACATTTAACATGCCATGAGAATTCAATATATCAGTGGATACAGATCTTTCATGAATGTAAGTTATTTTTCCTTATAACTTAATTGCCCATATCATTTTGGTGTTTCAAGGCAATGTTTGAGCAGCTGTGAAAAAAAATTTGCATGTCCACAGAGTACGATATTGTACACAGTACAGGCATCTGCAGGGAAACCAGCCTGTCTGAATGTACTTACAGCCCTGCTCAATTAAATAAGGTATGTATCTATTCTACAAAAATACGCTATTCCACAATAACTTAAACAGCTTTCCAAGATGGATTGGTATGTAAGGAGATAACCTGCTTACATATCTTTGGGCTTCATGCCAAAGGGATCTGAATATTACAAACCATCTAATATCTTTTACAATGTTTGGAAGGTTAGAATGGCATCCAGTTTGAACAGTTGTTTGGAGGAAGATGCCAAATTTTGTCTTGGTGACATAAAATGCCCTAGCACAAAGAAAGAACAGTACTAAAACTGTAGGAAGAAGAGATAAACTGAGACCTCTATCAACAGGAAAACATGACATCTCTTTTCATTTACTGCAGGTGCTGTGTTTGACAACTCTTAGCCTCTGGAAGATGCTCTTTTTAAGGCAACCTGTTCTTAACTTTAATTAGGTAAGTGGCATATCCTGTTCTAGATAGGTTATTCATACCTAGTTCACGTATTTGATTTGTGTCAGTATGTCAAGCAGAAGCCAGACACCTTTAATAGGAGACAGTAGAGATATATAAAGTGAATCAAAGCTTTACTCTTACACCTGCTTCTAACAGGCTATCCTGCAAAAATGAAGGTGCCCTAGATTGAGCTGCTGACCAGTTTTAAGAATCAGTGCAGGCTTCTTGCCCAATTCTATTTAGCTGAGGTCATGGACACACATCATCCCCCAGCCACACGTGTTTGCTGACAAGGCACCATAAGCTTTCTTTCAGCCTAGCACCATTTCCCTGCATCTGGTTGACATTACAGCAGGTGTAACAGGTCCTGTGAGCGCACTCTACTTCCTTTAATTGAAGAAGAGCTGCATTACTTTAAATGGTCAAATGAAAAAGTTTTGCTGATACCAGCAAATTTTCATGTCTGCATGGAAGGGAAGGAGAAGAGGGAGAGGGAAATTCCCCACTTTTTTCAGTAGTGTACATCCCCAGTAAACTGAATTGAGCTCCAACAAGGGGCACTCCTAGAGACTGTAAATGGCAATAATCTGAGGTATTCTATGTGACGAGGTTGAAGTACTCCCTGCATACAGCAGTCATCACTCATTTTTTCTGTGCTGCTCCCTTCTCTACTGGTTCTATTCACAATGGCTGCAAAACTTTCGAAGATGGCAAAAAACAGTTCTAGAGCCAAATGGTAGAAGGAAATAAAGATAAAAGAGATGAAATAACCAAAGTGGCATAAAAGGTACAGATATAGATAGATATTACTTCTGCAATGTAAACAAATGTAACTTCCATTTGCATCAAATAAAACAATTGACTAGCCCAAGGAAACATAAATGACTCAACAAAAAGTATATCCTGTATATGAGGGATGGAATTTGTAGTAGGAAAGTAAGCATTTCACCTCTTTGTTCATAACATTATTTTTGGTGACTCCAAATTTATTTAGACTTCTGTAAATTATGTTTTTTTCCAAACGCTTTGTAGAAAGGAAGATAAGTAACTTTCTTTTATTCTTGTAGCTGAAAAAATTGGCTTACCTCCACTTGCAATATTTCCAGCTTTTTTCCATTTATATTACTTTCTGTTTCATATGCTTCTGACCATATTTACCATAATTGCCAAACACCAGTGCAATATATTAAATGAATCTTGAAAACCATCTATTTTTTTTGAGGTAACATTACAACTTTTGGCTCTGATAGTTCTTAAAATTATTTTGTTTTCAAAAGCGTAAGGAAATATTTTAAAGTACTATAGACACTTCATTTCTATTGTTCTTTCAGTGAGTATTATGTTTTTAAATATTTAATAATATTAAATTGACACTGGTTTTGATGACATGCAACATTTTCCAGATAGTGCTTTTTCTATTTATCCTTACAGCTTTTGAGAAAGTATACAGAAACCAAGGCAAAATGGACTCCAGTTTTGGTGTCTACATTTTTGAGACTCTTTTCTGATCCATGCTAAGTAGGTTAATTTGTTTTGTTTCAGAACATTATTGTGAATGGTAGCATGTCATTAAATAACCTTACACATCAGAAACAATGAGAATAATGGTATTGCCTTTACAAACACTATTGTCTTGACACTTCACAGATTATATTTGCAGAGGTACTATGGTTTTGGTGCTTTCAGGATGTTCTAAACAGAGTGTTAAATGAAGGCATTTCAATTCAATGCTCCCAAATAATTCTTCAGATATTTTTTAGCAGTTTAAAAAATAAATTAAAAAACATTAATTTTGCTGTATGTTGGGCTATTATCTGTGCTGAAGAACAGAAGCTCTGCCTTTTGGTTTTGACTAGGCAGAGTGGGAGTTTCATTTGCAGCAAGAGGGCTACAAAGCCAGAAAATAGATACAACATAGCAAATGATGTTAATAAAAATGAGTGAAAGTGTATGGAAGTAAAATTTAGAACTATCATCTAAGGTTATGTGAAAAACAATAGCATAGCATGCTAATTATACAGGAAGTAGCAATAAAAAGGTTACCTCTTTTTATTGTAAATGGCTTTTGTCTAGTCAAACATCCAAAAGAAAAGAGAAATCCACTTAGGAATACCAAACATTTAATGTTAACAAAGCCACATCTGCAGTACTGTAGAGTACAATAGACATTTTAAGAAATATCTGGTAAATGAGAAAGGAGTGGAAAAAAGGGTGAAAATGGATGGCTGTCTGCTGAAGGAGCTAATTAATAGCACAGCCTGTTAGGAAAATATAAGCAAAAATAATGTGACCTAAGGAAGATTTAAAAAAAATAATAAAAAAAAAAAAAGGATTAATGTTAACGATAAGCTTGCTCAACAAATAATTCTCCTTTGAAAACTGTTTTCTAGAGTGCTTAGTGAACACTGAATACTTAGCAGCTCTCTGAAACCTGCTGGTCGGAGTGTCATCAAGTCATTTTGGTGTGCACAGCAGATTGATTAAGTGATTGATCAAGCTGAGAGCTGAACTCTGGTGTCCAAAATCATATGTACTTTGTTATCAAGAAAATTATCTTGTATAAAGCTGTGTGCTACCATGTCCAAAATGCTTTCAATGCTTATTCAATCCTGCATGTCTTTATTCTACACTGCAATTTAAAAGACAGATCATCCTCCTGACCCATCTGAACAGGGTATGTTTATCATCCAGCACTCTGCAACTTACAGTCCTTTTTCTGAGACATTTCAGTGACACCATTATAAAGAAAACAGGAAATAAAGCATGTGCATTCATTAACTATTTGTCAGCTTACAAATGGAATTTCTGCCATTTGGAATTATGTGAAAAAACAAAACAAAATTCAGGAATGCAGAGGAAATGAAGAACTCAATCTCATTTTGGCAAACACATGCTCATGTTTATTTATTCTTCTTTACATAATGTAACAGGGATGTAGACAAAGCTGTGACATTTAATGCCTTCTTCGCCTCTACCTTTAACTCTGATAATGGGCCCTAGAACCCCAAATCCCTGAGTTGGAGGACCATGACTGAGGTAATGATGAACAGCCAGACAACCCTGAACTTGTCCAGGATTTGCTGCTCCAGCTGGATGCATGTAAGTCTATTGGGCCTGATCAGATTCAATCCAGGGTACTCGGAGAGCTGGCTGATACACATCTTGTAATTATTTTTCAATGGTCTTGGGAATCTGGATAGGTCTCAGTCAACTAGAAACTGGCAAATGTCTCGGTTTTGAAGAAGGGCAAGAAAGAAGACCCTGGCAATTAAAGGCGTGTCAGTCTCACTTCATTGTGTGGTAAAATTATGGAGAAGATTATTCTGTTTGTTATTAAAAAACACCTGAAATACAACGCAGTCATTGGTCACAGCCAACATAAATTTACAAGGGGAATTCCTTTTTAACGAAATTAATTTCCTTTTATGACAAGGTTACCCACAGAGTTGACCAATGCAAGCCAGTAGATGTAATATTTTTGTTTTTCAGCAAGGCTTTCCATACTGTTTCTCACAGTATCCTTCTGGACAAAATGTCTGTCATACAGCTAGATAAATGTATAATGTGATGGGTGAACAATTGGCTGATGAGTAAAGGATTATAGTAAATGGAATTACATCAGGCTGGCGGCCAGTCAGTGCGGTTCCGCGGGGCTCCATTTTAAGTCTAGTTTTCTTTAATGTTTTCATAAATGTATGGATGTAGGACTTGAAGGCATACTATGTTTGCAGTTAACACTAACTTGGGAGGAGCCGTTGACTCTCTCAAGGGAGGAGAGACTTTACAGAGAAATCTTGACAGATTAGAGGGCTGGAAAAGCACCGTTTGAAGTTTAACAAGAGCAAGTGCTGGGGCAACCATTGCTATATGTACAGACTGGGGGACGAGAGGCTGCAGAACAGCCCCACAAAAAGGGATTTGGGGGTTCTGGTTGGCAGCAAGTTGAATATGAGCCAGCAGTGTGCCCTGGCAGCCAGGAGGGCCAGCCCTAACCTCAGTTGCATCAGGCACAGCGCTGCCAGCTGGTGAGGAAAAGGACTGTCCCACTCTGCTCTGTGCTGCTACAGCCTCACCTTGAGCACTGCATGCAGTTTGGGGAGCTACAGTGTAAGAAAGATATAAAACTATCAGAGAGTGTCTAAAGGAGGGCTACAAGGATGGTGAAGTGCATAGAGGGCAAGATGTATGAGGAGCTGCTAAGTCCCTTGGTTTGTTCAGCCCATAGCAGAGGCGGCTGAGGGGAGGCCTCATGGCGGCCTGCAGCTCCCTCACGAGAAGAGCAGGAGCTGAGCTCTGCTCCCTGGGGACAGCGACAGGACCTGAGGGAATGGCATGGGGCTGGGTCAGGGGAGGGTCAGGCTTAGGGAAAGGTTCTGCACCCAGAGGGTGGTCGGGCAGTGGGACAAGCTCCCCAGGGCAGTGATTATTTCATTGAGCCTGATGGAGTTCAGGAAGCATTTGAACAATGTGCTCAGATACAGGGTTTGATTTTGGGGTGGTCCTGTATGAAGTCAGGAGTTGAACTTGATGATCCTTGTGATCCCTTCCTGACCAGGATAGTCAGTGATTCTAACTAAGGAACCACTGAAAACTCTTCCGTGCTTCCAATTTCAGACTAATTTTTTCTAACTTTGTAAGTTTCATAAAGCTCAAGCTATAAATTATAGACAGTTGGTAAATGATTCAAAGCAGTTCAGGTAATTATTGCTCATGTATCATAGAACGGTCAGTAGCACGCAACATTAAGCTGAGTATAATCATGTATCATAATTGGCTAATTCCTTGTACTCTTTCCTTTCCTTCTTTAAATAAGCTACTTGCACGTGTACTTCCTCATAAAATCTATCAGCTAATAATTAACATGCTATGGAAATATAGATCACATTTTGTATTAAAGTTTCATTTTCCATGAAATCTAATTTCTTATTTCTTATGAAGAAAACACAACTGTCTGCTTAGTGGGACATCACAATATATATTTTTATTCTAGCAAGCGTGACACGTTTGATTATAGGAAGTCAAACATGCTGTCTCTGTGCCAAAAATTAATAGACCTTTCTGTTTCATTTCTTTTTCAAGAAGATATTTTACCTTTTAGTGCATGGGAACCTTGCATGTTTTCACAATGTATAAGAAAAGGTGCAAAAAGAAAACCTTCATATGCAGGTAAAATTTCTTGTATCCACAAGAGCCGCTTGAATGCTCCTTCTGCATTTACTTTTAACCAGAACAGATTGAAAATGTTAGCCCTGAAGTAAACAGATGGTGTCAATAATGACTGATACTCACTGGAGTTCTATAAACACACGCATATTAATAGCCTGTCAAGCAGCCCATATTGTAATCAAATGATACAAGTTACCTACAGGAATAAAACGTAAGACCAAAGTATTTTAGAGTCAAAGTGCCTAAAATTGGTCTTTTCATTGCATACTCTTCTAATGTAGCTTGTTTGGGTTTGGTTTGGATTGTTTTCAATGTTTTTAATAATCATATAACTGTAAGGTTACATTAACGTGCCAACTGCTCTGAATGTTACCAAGTCTTTAAAGATTACCACCCCCAAACCAATGTCATGTCCACACTGACAGATACAGAGTGTTGGGCAAGTGAAACTTACGCATTAGCATCCCTGCCTACATAATGACTCTATTCTAATAAACATTAAGATACGGAAATAGACCGATTCCCATTCTATTTACAGCTTGTTCACCTCATGCTCTAGATGTCAGATTTCTAAAAAGGAGTCAAACAGTCTGTTTTTATGGAAGCCTTTAGGACAGTGCAACAAGAGAATCCATGGTAAGCCATGGAGGCCCTAGTTCATGCATGTCACTGAAGTGGATGGACATGCATGTGCTGTTTGGTAAGGCATTAGTTACTGAGTCAGTAGTTACTTAAACAATTAAGTCATTTGACAGTGTTTTAGGAAAGGCAGCTGCTGAATTAAATTAATTTATAAATTGATCCATGAGAATGTTTTAAAATATATCTCATTTAGGATTCTGTTGTCTCAACTGATGTGACAAGTCCTGATTGCTAAATGAGATCTCCTCCCCTCTCACAAGTATAGAAAAAACACTTGCTATTTTGATACAATTAAGATAATGACTGCATAAAAGTCTACATGAAAATATAGATTATGATCAGTGATTTTCATTATTAACACAATTCTGTGTAACTAACATTTGCCTAGATTCCCAGCACCACACAGTCCTGCTGCTTACCATTCATAAAGCTAACCTATGTCAGCGGACAGACTCATTGTGCAGCACAAGGTTATATATGATATTCTAAGACAGAATATAAGAGAGCCTCTATGTATATATGCATTTTGGATGTGTTAAAGCTGCACTGCAATCAGAGATGTAACTGAGTTTAGATTTTCATGCAGGATTAATACAGTAGGATATGTCTTGATAGCACAGTTGACAATGGAGACAGAAAATTCTTTGCTGATACCTACTTAATTGCTATCGAGTGGATTCTGTTTAATAGGTGCACAGACTTATAACCTGTGGACTAAATATTTCAGTGTTCTTCTTTTTGTGAAAGTGTGGGGAATTAGATGTGTGTAAAATTAGATGCTACCAAAACAGAACTCAATGCTTAAGTCTTAGTTCCCAACTTAAAAAGTCATAAATGACTTCACAAGAGGCTAGACAATGGAGTCAGATCAAATGACTTGCATAGTGAATGCATGAAGTAGAAGAGCTCAATTTGATTCTTAGTACTTTTATTCAAACGAACATAATCTCTGTTTTGAGCAGTCTCAGTGGTTGTATGTGCTGATTGCTGAAATAATCTGATTTATATAGAAAAGAAGCACTGGCTGAAGCTTAACAACATCAAATCTTATTTCAAAAGACATCTTTGTACAAGCTCACAACACCATGCTTCTGACTTTACCTTAACACCAGTTTTCTAAAGTTCAGAAATATAATCTCCCACTGCTAATTGGTTATATGTGCTTTTTACTACTTGAATTATATGAATTACCTAATCTTATAATTTTTTGACAGAACCAAGGTTTTACTGTCAAAAACAGTAAATCTTTAAAACTCCTTGAAAAGCATGATACAGAGGAAAAAAAAAAAAAAAAAAGTTCTTTAATGATCCTAATACAAAAACAGAATTTGGAAATGATCAGTCCTTCCAATTTTTAAGTATCTACCTCATGTGGTGCTTGGGGACATGGTTTAGTGGTAGACTTGGCAGTACTAGGTTAACAGTTGGACTTGATGGTACTAAAGGTCTTTCCCAACCTAAATGATACTATGTTTATATGATAATATTAATTAGCTTCTATATAGCAATGCATCTTCTTTGTTTTTACAGAAGTGATTATGTGAATTAATAAGTACCTCTCTATGTTCTTGCTCCTCAATGTATTTAAACCCTGCAATTTTTTGAGGATCTCATTCTTTTCAATATAATTCAGAGGTTTCGGTTATCATTTTCTAGAACATTTCTTCAACTTTCTGGGCAAAGGCAAGCTGGGCAGGGAGGTTTACTTGTATTTAACCACTGGAAAGGCTGCACTATAATTTAAGCCCAGTGCTAAGAACATTAATTCTCAATATTCATTAAAAATTCCCTGCAGGTAATGAGTCAAATGTCTGCCAGCTAGGGTTTTTAATCCAGTGATAGCATGATTTTTGCATTTCTGTCTAAAATAGACTGTGCAGATTTCATTCAAAGACTGACAGTTCACTATCAGACATCCACGGCAGTGATGAGTTCGCTGAAGAACCTACATGGAAGAGCAAATACTGATGAAGAACTAGGTAAATCTAGGATATGAAGCTAAATGAACTCTTGTAACAGACATTGCTCATTTTAATTTCCCTTTCTTAAATTTGATTTTACAATTTCCTTTTATAATGTAGTAAAAGGTAGATATTTTCCAGATTTTATTTTATTACACATTTTCCATATTATTAGGGCATTGGGTAGTACTAATTCCTTCATCTACAGTTTTTCCTTCATTTTCTTCTGATGCATAAATAAAAGAATTCAGAATGTATGTAATTCCCACTTCTAAGTGTCAAATATTTTAAGTATTTACTAGTGTTTCATCTAATATTACTGTGTGCTTAGAACTGTCATGTATATTCTGCTTTTCTACTCCAGTTAAATCAATTACTACAAAAAAGAAAAAGCTGTATATGTTTTCATGGGTATCACTTAAGATTCAATATTCAAGAAAACATAATTTTGGTTCAATATATATTTGGTAATGTAAGAATATATATTATGCATATCTCTTCAGTAATGGAATAGTCTCTGAGGAAAAAATGGAATTATAATTTTCCAGTTAAAATAACATATTAGATCAGCACAGTGTTAAATTAAAGGACCAAGCAAAAGAAAAATCATTTGAAGTTCCTGGATGTATATATTACTGCATACATAAACTGTAGACATGGTATATTGATCTATATTGGCCTAGAGGCTGACAAGAAATTTTGGGAACAAAACTAAAGGTCTTGGATATCAGCTAAGTTCAACTGACATACTAGAAATTGTCTGAAATGGTGGCTCAGCGATCTGGATAAACTGGAGTCATCAGCACAAAATGCTTTTGGTTCAGAGTGAAATCGATGAAGAAGAACTTCCATACTGAGATTTTTTTTTTTCTATTTGTAGCAGGTGGTGCATAGGTCAGTGAAATTTTTAAGCACAAGACTCATGTTCCCTTAAAACTAATTAAATATTAATTCTGGAAAAGTTGCATTATCTTTTACGTGCCTCTGACTGAGCTGGATCAATTCTAACTGTTTTTCTTCTTCTTCGCCTGACTTCCAAGCAAAAGGTTGGCTTGGAATAAATTCATCCACTTGGGTAAGACCTTTCTACCCACCACTTTCTTTCCCATCACCTTTTAATCTCTGAGACTGCCAAAACCTGTCCTGGAAGAGAGACTTGGGTAGCAAATGTTAAGCATGCCTCACTGTTCTTGCTCCTATGAGATTTTGACTGTTCCCTGTCTGCCACCTTCATTCCTGAAAGTGTTGTAGTCATTTGTAGTTGTACTCAGGCACAGCTATTTCATTTCTGTCCCATCTTTCCTGGAGAACATTAGTTTTATATATGCCATTGTAAACGAGGTGAATCTCACTGTGGTTCTTAGATTATAGTTACTTTGTTAATGCATAGTAAAAGCATTTTAAAGATTCAAAATAGTTCAATATGTCTGTACTAGGCAATGGTATCTGTCACTTTATTTTTTTTTTTCCTCTGAATTATGCAAAGAGGTTCAGTCAGGTTTGGGAATCCATTGCACAAGTATTTTGAAAAATCGTACGTGACCTGAAAAAAATAATTATAAAGTTTTGGGGCCATTTCCTGAGTTAAGGAAATAATTATCTGCGGCAAAAACCTCAGGGTATTTGTCTTACCTCTGTGTCACATTTCCCTATATGTTCATTCAAAGTGTTTCTTACAGCTTTCTTTTTAATGCTAGGGTTTGCTTTCTTTTATATTTTTTTCTACAAACATTTCACTGTGCACATATTGTACTTACCTCAATCTAAGATTTTGAAGCATGGTACTTTCATGCTTTGTAAGAATTTCCAGAGGTTTATTTTGAACCTTGTTATTTTGATAGTTCTTTATTCTGTCAGCAGTGACTGGAATAGGATGGTACTCAGGGGAAACAGAGGTATGCACCACTACAAAGTCTGTGTATTTTCTGAGATCCCTTATGCTGGGGTTATGACTGTCTCTAAATAGACTTGTCTAACTTCACATTCTGTCAGTCATTCAAAATAAAAGATCTACATTCAGTCTTCATTCAGTCCCTAGGAGAAACCAGAGCAGACATCCCAAAAAAATAAATGTAGGAAATTGCACAGTGTTGTGCCGCTTAAGTCTGAAAAAGGATAGAAAATCCATAGCTTTGTATTGTTTTTCTTCTTTCTTTGCAGAGATGGGCCTTCTGTATGCAGTACAATCAGCACGTGCAGCTTCCCCAAAATGCTGTTGGCCAAATTCATCCTTAGTGCAAGGCCACCAATTATTGGAGACTCACTTTGGATTAATGTGACACTATATCTAAAACCGATAATAGTAATAATAGATGTTAGGGTCCCATAGTGAAGTCATACTGTTTTCTTGGACTAAGAAATCATGTGTAGATGGTAAAAGTTAAAACAGAGTAAATTACATGACTAAATAGACAAGGAACTGTCTTTGCCCCAGAGGACTGACAGCAAGATTGATTTTACCAAAAGCAAACATGAAGTCACTTTTATTTTCCTTCTGTTCATTACACATTGACTATAGTAGGGACAGGAATTTTACTCTGTCTCCTTCCACGCAGTAGGTGCAAAGAAGGAACAAGGCCAAGATGCTCCATGGATTGTTGCTCCAGCAAATCCAACAGATCTCAGAACTCATCTGTATGTGTTTTAACCCATGACAAATTAGTACCATGTTATGTTGCATGGGTACACATGCAGAGTACCCATTTCTTCCTCAAGCATGGGCTACTGAGTAAAGACCATCTGCTATTAAATAATGCCATATCACAATAAAATTTGAGCATATTTGAACTGTTCTCTCAAGACAGAAAAAGGGTAACAGTTCCCCAGGTGCCAGTGGCCTGACCCAAATCCCCCTAAGGAGATGTCATAAGATCTGATTGTCTTCACATCAGCTGGATAGAAGAGCTCCATCCTGTTCAGTGTCTGAGGCAAGAAAGATTGAATTAAGGTGAGCAAAGATTTTGGGAAAAAAAAAAAAAAAAAATTTCCTAAAGGAGAGCAAACTGAGGGAAAAGGATATGGTTAGCTTGGTAAGCTTTTTAAAAGCTACCTCACAGTTGAATCCTCATCACAGTAACCATCAGTGAGCACAACAGAGAATATTACCATTATCATTTTCTGTGTACTGAACAGGTAATACTGTTTTAAAGTGATCTCTGAATAGGCTTATTGCCAGATGACACCGGGAAGTTATTGCTTTGTTCATGTTTGACTGGGACTGTTTTTCTCCTTTATTTTTGCTGGAGAGTCTCAGTGGCTTATTATGTATGAACATTTTCCTGCATGCCCTTCCAAGAAGCATGGGGGCCTTGTGCTTATTGTCTTCCTGTCTGTATGTCTCTTCTTAAAGGTTTCTCTCAGTGAAAAGCATATCAATAGCTGTCACATTATTTCCATCTAATTCATTTCTGGCCCATACTTGTGAATCTATGCTTTCTCACTAGAAAATAAATTGCAAAATCACTGACCTAGCAAAACAGTCAGGAGCTGAATAAGGGGTAAAGCAGAAAAGAAAAAAAAAAAAGCAACTTATAAGTTAAGTAAAAGAAATAAAATGTACAGTTTCAAACTGTTATTGGGAACCAAAGGCTCTAGATTGTCATATGGGCGTGGTGTTGCTCAGTTTACATGGTCAGCACATTTATGTGCATGTTTTTGTGTACCAAGCCAAACACATCCCAACTCCCTGTTGGCAGTTCAGGTCTCCATCACCTATATCCTAATACAGATTTACAGCCCCACAGTAAAGCTTTGCACAAATGTGATGCAACAAAGCTTCTAAAAGTGTTTTTCCTTCACCTGATGAACACACCATTGACAGAATTTGAAAGGTTTTTGGGCACAATGTGTAGTAACACTCAAACATCCTGTAGCTTTGCTATTTATAGCCCTGTATGGGCAGCTGTACAAGCTGCCTGCCCTGCTTACAGCTGGGCAAGCTCTTTGGCCTCCTACTTATGTCCACCTGAGCCTTCTCTGCTTGTTGGCTTCCAGGCAGCTTTTTGGGAGCTAATGGAAAACAAAGTCTTGAGAGAAGAGAACGGAGAGCTGGCCTACTAAAGAACAGCAGAAACCTGGGCAGCTGTAATACTGAGGTAAGGGTCAATTCTGCTTCTCCCTCTTCTCTCCTAAGCTGAGCGTAAGGCACTGGCCTCACTTCTTTGCTGGCTGAAGGCTCCAAAATGTGTTTCTGTAAACAGAGAGGAACATATGCTAAATACAAGGCTCCCAAAGCTGCTAACCAGGAGCTTCCGTCTGACAGGTGTATCTGCATGATAGCAGGCACGGGCTGCTTGAACCAGTTGCAAGGCAGCACCAGGCTATATGATCTGCTACAGCTGAGAGACCCACTGTGGAACAGCAAGTTCAGGCAAATACTTGCAATTTACCTGCAGTCTAGAGACATGAACGGAATTGGGAAAAATAACATTGTCTTTGAGATAGTCACATTTCAGTGAGTGAGAACTTTCACCCATCTCTCTCTATAAACACAGGGTTAAGAGGCTAACCTTTTGAAATTCAGAGGATGCTAAATATTTTCTGCAAAGAGTGACAGATGTTTACATGTTTATTATCCTGTATTTTTAGCTTACTTGTTGACAAGCCTCAAAATAAAAAAAATAAAATATAAATAAATCAAAACAAAACAACAACAACACATTTTGCACATTAGTCCACATTTAAAAGATACTTGCTTTAGCCTCTGTTTTACTGTGTGTATGATCCCCATTTCACACAAGCTCAGTTTTCTTTAGCTATTCCCTCCTCCAGAACTGTGAGCCTGTTTTAGCAGTGTTGCTGCTAATCACTCTTTTCTATAAAGACACCATCTCCCAGAGGATGTTGAATTATGGGAAGAAGTAAATACCACTACTTGGAAAACTGTTTAGAGAAGCAGAGTGATTTTTAAAGTGATTACTGGTAATACTGAGTGTTGAACAACTATAGGGTTTATCATCTAAATTACTTTTAACTTACATTCCAGGTCATTCACAAAGTCTAAATCTACTACTGCTTTGTCTTCTATGTCTGAAACATGTTATACAACTTAAAGCATGTATTAATTTAATTTTGCTTAATTTAATTTAATTAATTTAATTTTACTGGGTTAAGAGTTTATTCTGCCCAGTGAAAGAATAGACTTTACCATGGGAAGAGAGTTTCTTAAACAGAAAAACAATGCTTTGGTTCTCAGACATTCTTACTGTCTTCAAACTGAAATGCCATAATGGCGTATGTGTTTGTAATTAGATGCTATTTCTAACCTGTTTTCTATCATTCTCAAAATTTCAATTCCTGAGATAGGAATTCAGCGAGTTAAGTGTGAACTGCGAACAGCTTGCCTCTGTGCAATGCTTTTATCAAATAAGACCATAAGTCTTCTGGTTGATAGATATGCACCCCACATATCTTCCTGTTCTAGTGAAGGTTACTCAGTCAACTAATTTTAATGCTATTTTGAAGTAGAAGAAACTACACTTTTTCCACTTGAAAGCTGTCTCAGATATTTTACATTTGAAGTGATCAGTTCCTCTGAGTTGATTCACTTTCCAGTATTTATGGTTAGTGTTTTCTTTTCCCTTCCTTTTAGGATCATTCAAAAGAGAACTGTTCTGCTTTTACTCACAGTCAGTTTGTAATCAACAGCACTATCAAATTCTCACAGAAGGCACCAATCAGGCATTTTTTCTGTATTGAAATTAGTTGCTAGCAGCAGTTTAATATCTTTTTAAGGTAGTGGCTTAAAGCAGAAGAGAGAGACAGAGACAAAGAGATTGCAAAACTGCAAAAGGACATTTTGCCATGCAAAATAACCTTCACATGTAGTGAGTATGGGAAATGTGGCTGCACAGTATTGTGAAGCTTTTCTGTTGTACTTGCAACATCAATGACTAGAAAGAAATTCAGAAAATAGATAACTGAAAGTATATAATTTTTGAAGGACAGTATCTTTAATCTTAGCTTAACAGTGAGACCTTTTATAGTTTCATACTAACTTAACTAAATGGGAGAAGGTAGAATAGAGAAAACAAGATGGCAATGAAGCTGAGAACAGACTGCATAGTGATTTAGACAAGTCCCCCAGGCAATGTTAGCCTGCAGGTCTGTGGTGTCTTATTGGTAATAAGGATTCATAATAGATTGGATCCCACGATGTCACATGTGGTATGTTGCAGGTACTACACAGTGTTACAGTTGAGTACAAATAAAATCTAACAAAGTATGTGGGACTTGTGTGCCTGGCTCTGTAGGATGTTGAAATGCTTATTGATTCCTTCCATTACAGTGAAGATGTCAGGTGGGACGACTGGGGGGAGAGATGAAAGTGGTATCTTGTTCAAGGGTGGGATCTCTGTTATGCAAATCTGACAGGGTAATTTCATCTGTTTTCATGCGGTCTGGTGTTTAGATCCTTTTTACCTCTCAATTATGTGTATATATGCAGCATGGCACAGCTGTACGACCCAAGCCACAGTGCCAAGTGCCATTGAGACCATTACATAATTGTTAGCTGTAATATGTAAAGAAGCCAGGTTTACACAATTAAACAAGGCTTTTGACACCATGTCATCAACTTGTATACTGTGTGCATACATTTAATGTGGTTGAATGCTCCTTCTGAGATGAATGTGCTACTTCCGTGCCTACACATGGAGGATAAACCTTGCTTGGATCATGGTTCTTAAAGGTGGATTATAAAAAAAATAAATATTATGATTAGAGAGAGAAGTGGGCACTGGGCCTAGTGATTAAAAGTTCATTTTCTGTAAACTAAGAACTGCAGTCATCGACATGTACTCTGGCCATGCATTATTCTCTGTCATTTATCCAAACACAGTTTTAAAATAATCCCCCTTTTTATAAACATGTATGTGTACACGATTTGTAACTCCAATTGCTCTAATTGCATCTAATCTAGTCAAATTCATTTTTATTAAGGTTCACACTGTGAGACTAATGAACCTAAAGCACTGGAATCATTCTCATTACACATGGTTTGATATGTTTACTGTATCTGCATTGTCTCATGCCCAGAAGAAAACAGCAACAATGACAAAAATTACCATGATGCAAAACGCATCTTCTCAGTCACTTCCCCTACATGAAATATTTTAAATTAATTGTGTTTTAACAGGGAAATGTAAGCAATATTTCCACTACAGAATTTTAATATGAAAGAATGTCTGACTAATGAAGAGTGTTTTAAAGGGTTATGAAACTAGAAGGAGAAAAGCCAGCTGAGGTGATGGACAGCTAGGTAATACAGGCAGCTGACATACCTATAAAATTGATGTATCCAGAAGCTTAAGAAATGATCGATGTCTGTCTGACAGACACTAGTCCTTTCATATTTTTTCCCGGTGGCCTGTAAACAGGAAACAATCTTATAGAAATCATTCATAAGGTCACTCTTCCCTTGTTCACTCCCCTTCCAAACATGTTCTTCCATGACACATGCAAGTACCTGGTCAGCAAACAACAAAGAGACTGAGTGGACTTGGACTGTGTAGGTGATGCATACGTAGAGAGGAACTTAGTTTTATTTCAATCTCTACTAGTCTTCACGACAAAATACACCTATTCTTTGAGGTACTTCCAAATACGTAACAAAATAAAGTAAAAGAAAGTCATGCTTTTCCACTACATTCATCATGGACTCTTTGCTCAACAGCCCAAGGAAATAGGTCTTGCTGTGTGATGGTGAACAAACTTTTTGAGGTTCAGGGAGATGTTTGACTTCTCACTCCAAAGAAGGCAAAATAAGACAAACTAGACTTAAAGACAGAAAACCACTGTCAAAACATATCTTAGTCAGTCTTTTCCCCAATCAGGGGGATGCACACTTATCCCACCTCTGTACCACCACTCTCTTTTGAAACGGGAGCACAAACAGGGTACACAAGGCCAGAATTTCTGAATGAAAGCTCGTCCATGAGTAGCAAAATAAATTTTACCACATAACCTATGAGAAAGGGTTCCTTCTTGTGACAATGACGTTTCTGTATCTGGCAGAACAAATAAAGACCTCTCCTAACTCTGTCCTCTTGGTGCCTCCAATACAATATGATTTTTATTTTTTTTCCGTGTCTTTAAAATTGTGATAAAAGCTATCAAAATAGCTAATCTCTCCACCTGCTCTAAGGGAATGGCTTTTATATCACATTTAGAATTGGGCAAAACGCAGAAACACTTCTTCATCACAATTTTCATTGACTTTTTCATGGTAGTTTTTCAGTCATTTTTAGCCACTGATAATTATGCATCGTCTAACACAAATAAGTCAATAAAGTATTCCAGATAACTCCTCAGTAATGAGAATACATAAATCCCTTGCTCAATAGGCTATGCAATCAGTTCACCACCACCACCCCAAAAAAACACCAACATTTAAAATACTGCAGTCTGTTTAAATCCGTTTAAAGTAGAATTTGTTAATGTTGTATGAGATCCTCTACTTCAGTCAATCAACATTCCTTGAAATCAATTAAATAACTCTGAATAGCACAAGGCAGATGTTAGTCTGATGCTTTTTGTAAGCAGGGGTTCCTTTTGATGAGTTTTGTTTTTGTAGTTGCATCTATTGTAAGTTTATTTAAATAAGTTTCTTTCTTTATTCAAGAAAATTTTACTTGTATAAAATATATGAAATGGAAAAATATTACTTCTTTCTATTTTCAGGAGATAAAAGTATAAAGGTTTTACTTGCATGGTTTGTGCCACTCAGTTCCCCTCTCATATTTGGGTAGGAATGGGTAAGAGAAGATTTAAAATACTGACTCTACTAAGAGGTGGTCCTCTGATCTCCCCAACTGGGGACCTAGTCTGGCTCACAGTCACAGAATCACAGAATTTCTAGGTTGGAAGAGACCTCAAGATCATCGAGTCCAACCTCTGACCTAACGCTAACAGTCCCCACTAAACCATATCCCTAAGCTCTACATCTAAACGTCTTTTAAAGACCTCCAGGGACTCCACCACTTCCCTGGGCAGCCTGTTCCAGTGTCTAACAACCCTTTCAGTAAAGAAGTTCTTCCTAACATCTAACCTAAAACTCCCCTGGAGTAACTTAAGCCCATTCCCCCTCGTTCTGTCACCAGGCACGTGGGAGAACAGGCCAACCCCCAACTCACTACAGCCTCCTTTAAGGTATCTGTAAAGAGCAATAAGGTCACCCCTGAGCCTCCTCTTCTCCAGGCTGAACAAGCCCAGCTCCTTCAGCCGTTCCTCATAGGACTTGTTCTCCAGGCCCCGCACCAGCTTTGTCGCCCTTCTCTGGACCCGCTCAAGCACCTCGATGTCCTTCTTGTAGCGAGGGATAGGTCTTCTACTGAGTGAGGACACACTTCAGTTCTGGAGCTGAGACTCCTTGCAGGTTGTACAGTTTAAGCATGGTCTTTATGTTCTATCTCATCTTTTTCCCCTACTGCCAGCTACAGTACTCAATCTCACTTCACTTTGTTGCAATGTTAACGTTCTCTCTTTGGGTAGCACATGGCGATTTTTCAGTAGAATGTACATTTTTCTGGCACAGGCTGATTCACTGCTCATCTTTCAGAGCTGTAAGTCCAGGCAAAGACTTAATTTCATTAAGTCCTTAAACAAATGCTAAAACTGTGACAGGTAGGATATGTCTTGATAAGGGCAAGGAAAAAGGTATCTTTGAGTGATGACCTTTTAATTTTTCATGTCCTGTGATTAAGTCTCAGGAAGAAGATGAACATTGGAAGAAGTTGGAAGAAAGAATCTGGAGTGTTGTCACTTGGCATTCTGTATTTAGCATTTTCCGTTTACTGTGCTAATGAAGTGCATGTAACAAGAACCTCTATAGGTAAGTAAAAATAGCAGTGAAGGTTTGGTTTTGATATTTTTGACACATAGTCTGGTATCAGATCTAATATACATATCCCAAAATACATCACAATATGTCCCACAGCATGTGAAATTAATAACATAATGCTTTCTTTTGTTAGCCCTCTATGTATGGAGGGTACAAAATTGCCTTGTGTATGTGGGTTTTCAAATAAAATTTCCAATTTCTAGATCCACTGCTTTGTCTCCTCAAGTTCAAAAGACAGCCAAAAGCAGGGAGAAATGACTCCATGGAGTTGAACCTTTGTACTTATTATGATCTGGTTAGGAAGCACCTGCCATTCACCAGCTTAGAAAACAATTTGAAATTCTAGTAAGTCTCAGCAAGCACCTAGCAAAGAACATCAGGAAGCTAGGCAGCTAGCCAGTTTCATATGCCTCATCTCTCAGGTTTTTGCTCTCATGCTCTCCCCCACTACCACATACTGCTTTTTTTTTTTTTCTTTTTTTTCTTTTTTTTTTTTCCTGCTTTTCCTGCTATATTTGAAGTAAGTGGAAAAATGCTACTGTTTAAAATGTCTCCTATATATTTTCTAGAATGGAGATTTTAATGCCTTTTAATGACAGAAATTATGTAGCAAGACATGGTTTAGGAATAAAAGAATGTGCTAATATAGAAAGCCAAGTCAGATTTTCCTTTCAAAGGAACAAACATGTAAGTATTATTGAAAAATGTGCTTGGGCCAAATTAGGTTGAAAGCCTGGCACATGATATAAAGACTCAAAGCACATCATTTGCAGCTTTCCTGAGGTATTCATTGTAGCAACAATGTGAAATTAACTTCAATTGTACGCAATTTTGGAAATGCTTTATGATGATGATCCTTTCAGCATTTCTAACTTCTTAGGAGATATTTTTGCTAGTTTACAATTTCCATTTTCTAATAATCGAGCTCAACAGAGAAAAATGTTAAATATGGTGTAAATTCATACTTTTTGGCTATCACAATTATGGACATGTTAGCAGAAAGAGATGTTATCTGTGAGTTCATGGATGTTCACAAAAGCTACACTCGGTACTGTTTTAAAAACAGTGTTGAAACAGGCTCAGGCTAAGCTTTCTGACATCCCTGGATCTATAAGGCCAAATCTTTGCAGGTTCAGCTGAGCCTTTCATCATTCCTAAGGATTAGATGCACCAAGTTTCAAACTTTGGGACCTGTCAAAGTGATTTGGTTTTCACTTAGAGGTGGGAAGGCTACACTTTTGCAGCCAGTGTTTAGTTTTCACATCTCCAAATTTGGATCTTTCTTTGGTTTCAAGCAGTAGGGTTGGGATATGCTTGTAGTAGTGATGGTTTGAAAATTTTAACTTTTAACTCATCCTGTAACTTCATGAAGGATTCAAGAGAATGAGAATCCATTCACCTTTTTTTTTTTTTTTTTTTCCTCCCTGTATGTGTTGATTTACCTAAATGTTACAACTCCATACCACTACCATGCAATGTCTACCACTTTGGCTTTCTCTTGCCACTGTGGTTCTGTTTTGATGAAATGCAGAAACCAAATTACATTAAGCCAGTAATGGCAACTGTGTGAATATCCATGAAAGAGAATGTCTAATTCAACCAACATATTGAAAACACATACAAGAAGAAAAATAAATCCAATACTCTGAGTGTTAACCGTAGATTGAACAATGAAGTGAGAAGGTTTGACTTCATGATGTGTACTGATGTGGGAAATTAAATTGGTCAGGGTGGCTCCAGGGAGCAAACAATATTTTTCCTTAAGGGTATATAAAATGTCATCTTTTCATCCAAAAAATGCTAATACATCGCTTCTCTGTTAGCATTTTGTATTTAATATTAACCTGCAATTTATTGCAAGCAAAAAAAGAAAAAGTATACTGCACTCTAATGTGTCTGGAAAGCCAAGAGTTGTGTCTATATCTGAATAAGCACGGGACTGAACTTCCTTATTAACTTAGCCAATCCAAATGATCTGCAGCGTTCAAGCATTATACTTGATTCCTTGTTACAGTGACAGCAGACAGCAAGTACACAGTAGTGCTGCACTTGCTACGATTGTACACTGTTTCAGAAGAGGTCAAATGTAGTAATTGACCAGGAATATTTATTTATTATTTATTTATTTATTTATTTATTTTAACCCAGCGACATACAGTTTGTAGTCTCAGGATGCAAGGATTACCAGACCCTGGCACATGAGCTATACTAATGGCAGAGGGTGCCACATGGGCCATGAACTTACCTCAAGTATCTGATTAGTGTGCTGTGTTCAAGCAAGATTAAAATATATAACATATTTGAGTTTGGTAGGGAATTTCAATTCTCTATCCGTCTATTAGCAAACATTGGCTCTCCTGTGTAGTGGATTGTCTGGTCAGCTTCTTACAGACATTCAGGGTAGTTTTATTAACGGGCTTTCCCAGGAATATAGAATTCCTCATCCTTCCTCTTTTCCTGAGACACGTTACAGTTGAGATTTGGGTCTTTCACTACTGGTTGAATGAGTATTTGGAAGTGTTCTGTGACTTGCAAAGTACCTTAGTCTGTGAAGTTGTTTCTGAATTATATGTATATATAGCCCAGTTGTCCATGTCTGAAGGGGACAGGACTCAATGATCCAAGTAATTGTTTCCAATCCAGTGTTCTCTAGCATTCAAAAGTACAAAATAGACGGTAGATGAAGGATGGCATCTATCTAGTTGAAAGCAGTCACACACACTGTAGGTGAGTGCCTACATTTTAGCTGATCAGCCTGTGATCTCTATATGATGAACCAATATAAACAGGCAATTCTGAGGTACTGTTCAACACACCTAAAGGATATATATAAGATACTTGTATGAGTCGCACTCTGAAACCAGGACATTTACTCCACAGGAAGTTAAGGACATGCTGATCAGATGTAGATAGCTAGATAGCTACAACATGAAGTTAGATGGAATTATTTCAGCTAGTGATACTTGGTTGAAATAAAAATAAATATGTAAAAATAACTCCTGTGCTGTTTACTGGCAAAATACCAACTGGAAGACTACATATAGTTGTTTTTTTGATATTACACTTCAAGAAAGGTGTGGACTCATTGTAGAAAGTCTACAGATGAGTGAGAATTATTAAAGTCTTTAAAACGAAAAGCTATACAGAACGACTAAGTGAAAGCTAAATACAGATTGAAGGAGAAAGGGACAGGCAAAGCAAAACAGAAGAAAAAATATATTAATTTTCCTCAGGTATATGGCAAATTTTTATAGAGATGACATTACCCTTACCCTGTTCTCTTACGACACCAAGTCCCATTTCTGTTTCTGTCCCCTTCTGCTGCAGCAAAAGGCAAAAGCTTGGTTCATGAATAGAAGCAGTAAATGTGTTTGGGACTCTGCCAAGACCTCAGTCATGGCTTCACCATGCCAGGGTAACTAGAAGATGTATAACCCAGCCTACTAGTGGGACATCAGAAATGACTTGCATTCAGACTAAATCATTTTTTTGCTATTTTGCACACTTCTGTTAGAAAGCTCAAGGAATTATGAAACAGATGAATTTTGCTGCTGTTTCTCAGTCTTTTCAGGTGCTGCAGAAACTTCTTATGTTGAATATTTAACCACTTCACTTTTATAGATCCCAATTTACTGATTTCTGACAACTTTCCTTTCTCTCTCACCCTTTCATCATTCAAGATGTAAGACAGGTAAGACAGAAGTGTGGAGAAAAAAAAATCAGTCAGCATGCATTAGGAGCCCACAGAAATGCAAAATGAGAGAGTAGGAAAAATATGCAAATAAGCATGTTTGACTCCTTGCTGCTAGTATGCAAGCCAGAGTGAAAACAGCCTGAAGCTCCTCAAATTGAATAGGAGGATTTGTTAGAGGACTGTGGCTGGGTGACTGAAAGGAGGACGTTTAGTGAGGCCTGTAGCTAGCTAACATTATTTTGTGAAAACATCTGCATATTTTTAAAGCCTATTTTAAGCCTCATGTTCTGAGTATATAATTGCATAGTGTTTTTGTTGTTGTTTCTATATCCTAAGAAAATTGCTGTTAGACCATCCCTCCTTGAGCATAACCTTGGAGACCTTTCAGACCCTTCTCTGTGAGTTTTCCAACAGTCTGAGTGATGTGGAATGTTCCTTCCCATACTGTCTCCACTCCTAAATATGACACAATCTGTCCCACCCTTCCCTGTCCCTTCTTGAGCACAGGACCCAGAACCTCCTTCTGGTCTCATGGTGTCGTTGGACTTGTGATGTCTTCCTATTACTATCATGACACAGACATTGACAGCTCAGAAAATTCTGCTGTTGCTATGGGATTTGGCCTGACCTACAGTGCCTTGGCTGGTACTGTGTGGGACCAGAAATTACAGAAAGGTTATCATGCCCAGATAAATCTCTCCAAGCCTTCTCAGCTGAAGCTTTCAAATCATTTAATCTGATGGCAGATGTGCTCTTTGTCATGCAACCAGTGAGGGTGATTCCTTCCCGTGTTTCGTTAATGTCAGTAAATATATAACGTAGTCCTGGTTTCTGTGGCTGCAATACAGGCATATCTTTCTAATTTCCAAAATCCTCTATCCATTTGCTTCAGGAATGTATACAATAACTCTTCAACCTTATTTTAAGATTAAATAGGAAAGTTGCACTTTTTAAATTCACATAGCATAAAGAATGAGAAAAGTTGCTTGTCATTCATTTTAATGAAGATTGAGATGGCTGTAGCACACAATCACCAAATTTAATGAAGTAATTACTTTTCAAATTGATTTCTAATTCTCTACAAAAAAAAAAAAGTTCCCATTGTTATTAATGAGATAGTAATAATTAACAGTACCTACAAATTAGAATTATTCTTCTCATGCTATATTGCATGCTTTGAGATGTTGTACAAATTTGCTGCATTTTTAATGTGGTAACTGATTCTGAGTTGAATAAAACTCAAACCATTCATTCCTTTCTGTTGATGTTATCATCTTCCAATATCAATTTATACTGTCTTCCCCCTAGTCTTCTGTGTTCCTGCTGCTGACACTCTGGAAAAAGCCCTCTCTGTCGCTGTGGACAGCACGTGAAAACATCTGCTGACATGCACAATGATAAGAAAAGCAAGCAAAATATTCATCTCTGTAAGGCCAGAAAAGATTGCTGAAAATATTCAAGGATCACTAATCACTTCAGTGATATGTTGTCAAAACTGTCTTTAGTTCATTGTGTAAACACACGACTGTCATATTGAGCATTTCTGTTAGAGAGATGTCACGTTCTTCAAGATGCAGCCTGACTTTACCTGTAAGTTCACATCTAAAAGCTGCTGTTTGAAGGAGTGATAGTATCTCCAGTTAAATCCACTGGTAGAACTAGGAAGGTGAACAAGTTCCTGAGCAGGCAATCATCTGCAGTTGTAGGCTAAAAAAAGTTATAGGATGATGATAACGGCTGAGTATGGAAAGGCTTCCTCTTTCACATTTGCACTTGAAGGTGAATAATAGAATAAATGAATTAGTGAGTGCATTTTAAACAACTTCTCTTATTTTGTTTTAAGTTTGCACCTTCCTCTGGCACGTCTGATTCTGCTGGCTGATCTAGGGGGACTGATGTGCGCAAGAAAGTCCTGTGAACTCTATTTCCATTGTGTGGTTTGTTTGAGCAAGTGTACCTGCAGCAGGCTGAATGAGTGTCAGCCTACCCCATGGGAGCTGCGGTTCTGCCCAGGGAGTTTCTTCTAATCCAATCCAATCTCTGTGTACCATCAACTATGGGATCTTTTTGTCCATTCCTATTCTGTTATTTTATACCACAGGAGCTCAGTTCAGTAGCAGTGATGGACATTTATTTGTCCAATTACGTTGCTGTGGAATGATGCTTATTCTGCGTTGAAAGTAAATTTAATTGATTTAAAGTCTAAAGCACGGAAGGAAAGTGTTGCACTTTTTTTTTTTTTTTCCCCCCCCTCTCTCCTCTCTCTCAGGCACAATGTTATGCCAATTGCAGGTTGGATGAAATGCGGGATATAGGCACTACAAGTCTCTTCAAGAGATACCAGGCTTTGTTTCGGCAGCTTTCCTTTCCCTGCAGTATTACACATTTATGTTACCTGTCTGGCACTTCTGTTTGGGCAAAGACTTGACTTTTTGCACTAGCTGATCTTGTCTGATATTCAGTCATCTGTGTCACAGTGTCCTTTCATGCTAGCTGAATTATACTTTTGAGTCCTCTTGTCAAATTATAACATCAAACAGACATAGGCTCTCCAGAAACCAGTCATCTTCCCAAGGGAAGACATCTTCCTCAGTCATGTTGGAATCTTCCCAATATCCAGAACAACATGTTAATATGACACTCTCACCTTTTACTTGAAACATGAGTTTTCTTTTAATCTTCATTGTCAAAATTCAAATTGAAATCCAAAGATGGGTTAAAGGCTTAGATATTAAAAAATAGCCCAATATACTTACTATTTTAAAATGTCAAGAATTTTCAAGACTAAGAACTTGTTGTATAAACACCTAGGTTTGGCAATACTGGGGAAAAAAACAAACAAACAAACACCACCACAAATGGACTTCTTCCACACAGATTTGTTAGAAAATAAATGTTCTGAAGCCAGAGTGTCCATTCATTTCCTCCCTCCCTCCCCCCTTCCCGATGAAAAGAGTTAATGTGCCACTCTCCTTCATTATCTTCAGAAGTTAGCATATCATATAATAACAGGTCAATGAACTAAACACATTCCAATTAATCACTTCAGGGTTACTTGATTGAGCATGTAGTCAATTCCTTGAATAAATCAATGTTGGGTTAGAAAGCTAAGTTAAGCTTTTGGAGAACTGCAGGCTGGAATTCAGGGAAAAGGAAAGCCACTTGAAACCACTGCACTAGAAAGAGCAACTGCATTGCTCTTTTCCAACAAGTTTTGCATGTTTGGCATTGCAAATACTTGCTGCCTCTTGACTTTAATGCTACTACTTTAGGAAAAATCACTTGGTCTGCAATAATTAATGTTGTCAGTTATGATATTTTCACCACAATAACACATTAACTGTAATCTATACAACTGAGATTAGGAAACATTTCCTAAAGTGACAGAGAACCAGGTTCTGCTGCAGTCTTGATAGCTTTATGGGCACAATCGGATCACAGAGGCTCACGCTGAAATCCCGCCAGCACAGGCAGAGCCTTAGCCATGTAAGCTGTTGCGATTGTGGCCTTAGCTCTTTGGCTAGCCAAAGCACTGGTTGGATTGGATTGTGGTTTCTTTGCCCAGAACACTGACCTGGACAAAGGACTCAGTCCTGAGACCAGACCCAGGGGAGATCCTGGTGTGGACTAGAGGCTCAGTCACCTTCAGACACTGCAATTTATGGGGAAGCTTGGGATTGTATTAAAGAAGGGAATCACAGTGAACTGCTTAGCTTCTTTTATCTCCTACTCTGAGGTAGACTACTGTGAACCAGTGCAGAGACTAGCTCTGGATTGTGAGGAAAAAAGGCTATTTTGTTATCATGGTGCCTTAGAGCTTCAAATCAAGAAGGAAAAGTGGCATATAATGGAGGCGTACTTGCCCTCCTTTCAGCTTCACAGCAGCTTCTGAGGCAAAGGAAAGTGACTAAAGTGGCAGCTTTAAAGCATGTCACTTCATTTAAAGGTGTTATTATGCAAGTAACCTTTTCTGAAATCAGCTAGTACCTGTATGACTCTCAAGTCAGCCGCTATGGCATTGGCTGTTCTCTATGTAACTCCGAAGGGGTGCCAATGTGCACAAATCTGCCAGGCACCATGTTTCCAATGCTGACAAAAGTCCAGGTGTGTGGTGAGAGCTGCTGATGGACAGAGCTGGTCATTCCATTCCCACCAGCAGGTGGGCCACGCTGGGGGACATCTGCCATCAGGGGAGAGCTGTGACTGTGTAGCCTGTAAAAGAGAAGGCTTGGGGGGATCTTAAATGCAGATGTAAGCACCTGATGGGGCGGTAAAGAAGATGGATCCAGGCTTTCTTCTCATCTCAGGGGTACATAGTGAATGTATAAGAGGCACAATGGGTACAAGCTGAAATATAAGAAATTTCATTTAGATGCATTTTTTTTATAGTTCTTATTTTTTTGCATTCTCAGACAGTGAGAGTGATCAAGCAGCAGAACATGTTGTCCAGATGGTTTGCAGGCTTTCCAGCTTTGGAAATTGTCAAAATGTTACTGGACATTGTTCTTGGCAATCTGCTCTGAGTGACCCTGCTTGAGCAGGGAGGTTGGTTTAGATGATCTCCAGAGGTCTCTTCCTACCTCAGCTTTTCTCTAACTCTGTGATACTGTGAAATAAATTAAAATAACTATAGTAATTTTAAAAGTAAATGGCTATTTAGAAGCCTTAAAAAAGAATGGTAGCAGGTAAATTTCTTAAGGATAGTTCAAAAGATTTTATTTTTGTTTCCCCTTTTCTGCCTACCTTTTAACAACAGGGACAAAACACAAAGAAAAAGGAAAGAACTCAATGGTTTACGCTGTTTTTTTGAATATATATTTTGTCTAATTATAGGATTCTTTTTAACTGAAACAATAATTAGCAATTTATTTATTTATTTATTTATTTTAATTTGAAGAAACTGAAGAAGCACCATTCTAGATTAGGACATTATTTTTTTTCAGAGAGATTCCCTGAAGATGATTTCTGTCAAAGGGATGGAGAGCCCACAGACCGAAGTTAACCCCCCAGAATAAATCTGGCATGCCACTCCCCAATACATGGCCTGTAAGCCCCTTGGTGATCCACAAGAGACAGACTATTTTCTCTTGCACACAATGACACAGATATTCCCACATCACATGGTGAGACAAAATATTTGTTAATTATAGGTGTCTCCTATGAAGTGGTCAATACCCACAGGGGAATTTCTTGGGCCCTACTCTCTACCATGTGAGCACACCATTTTAAAGCAAGGTGCAGACAAACAGGGTCTCAGAGATGTGACGTCCTCTACATGCTGCTTCCTGCCACTTGTTGCATCCTGGTTCCACAGGAGACCAGTAGGCTTGAAGGATCATATTCATCTGACCAAATGCAAACATGCTAAGTTTATGTTGATGACACTGGACTGTAACTCTAGATGTAAAAATACCTCCAGTTTGAATATCTGAAGTCAGTTTTTTTGATTTTTAAAGTTGGTAGAGGGAAATACAGGATTTATGGAGTATGATTCCTCTCATCTTGAGATGGATCAGACGACCATCCTCCCTACCACTGACTATTTCTTTGCAAACGGAGAGCAGCATAAAGAGTTCACAAGTTGTTGTCTGCTTTATGGACAGATGCCCTGACACATTTGGTGAGGTGAATCCCAGTAAAAAAGAAAACCGTGAATGGCATTGAATTTAAAAGCAAATATTTGCCTAGCACATAAAGCATTCCAAGGAGAAAGAGAATACATCTCTCATATTACTGGAGAGGACTAAAACATGTAGAAATTGGCGATGCTGGGAACATGTGTCTCACCAATTCCATTGAGATCTCCTGCTCACTTTCCCCTTCTGTGTCACTAACCTCATTCATTGGATGTGAATACATTTTGCTAATTCAAGAGAAAGAAAATGGCAGAGTCTTACAGTTAAATTTACCCTGCTTGTAGGCTTTCCAAGGCATGGAAACGTTGTGACATATATTACTGGTATTGCAGATTAAAGTGGCTGTGAGGGAGCTATACGATTGTTCTTCTGTACAAAAGTGTGTCTTCAGAGCTGTGCAGGAAAGCATAAAAGGTTGGGCAATGATCAGTCTCTCAGGTAAGAAGATAAATATTCAGTCTTTTTTCTTTTCTAATTGCACTTAGCATCTGTATTTATTTATTCAAGAATGGCTCTTTGGGAGCTTGTTCTAGCCCCTTTGATAAACAAATGGGGTTCTGTTTCCTTTTTTAGAAACTAATTATGCATTTTGGGAAAGGAGGAGGATGCATCTTAAAAGAAAACAACTTAAAAGAGCAAAGAGAGCATGATGGAAAGTGCATACTTAAAAACACTAGTGTCTGTTTTGCAGATTTGTAGAAGCTATGAAAAATAGAGGCTGGCCAAACCATTTTGCATTTCGGCCTCCATTTCATTAGCTTCTGGGTTAGCCTTCCCTGGGGTACCTGATGCTCAAGGCACAGGAAAAGACACCTCCATTTATCTTTCTGCAGTCAGAAGAGAGTCCCTGTGCTTATTCCTTCAGCATCCAGGCACCAAGAACTGCAGAGAAACTGCAGCCAAGCACATTCCAGGCACCCCCAGCAATTTTCAGCTTTCCTGGTATCTTGGTCATTTTCTGAAGAGGTATTGCATCAGTTCTTTTTAAAAGCAGAAGTACTTCTTGAGAACATCTTGGGGGAAAAAACAAAACAAAACAAAACAAAAAAACATCTGGGGAAGAACACAGATCTTTGTAAGAAAGAGAAAGACAAATGGCTAAAAAGGAATTTAAGAAGTGATATTCATGAACCAGGGTTCATTTTCAAACACTCTCAGAAGTCTATGTAATTATTAAGGACTTGGTGTTAATTTACCTACTCTCCATTCATTTCCACTGATCATGCTCACTTAGAGGCCAGGATGGAAGACAAGTAGCTAAATGTGCCTAAGGGAAAGTGCCTGTGGAAATTGCTCTTTCAAGTAGGTGGAGGTGGGGAGGAACAAAGAAGTGTAAAGTTATCACATGAAACTGCTAGTGAAACCATGTGGGGTTTTTTCAAGTCATCTTTCAGAGTGGATACCAAATAGTTTAGATCAAGATCAGAACACAAAGTACACACATATAAAAAAAAAAAAAAAAAAAGTGAGAGAGACCCTACAGTTATCTCTGAATTATATATCCATATATGTGTGTATATGTATGTATGTATGTACTTCTTATATATTAGTGTGGGCATATAAGCACATAAACAGATGGAAAACTAAGAGGACCACCATCAGACAGCAGAAGAAATGCCTAGCCCTGAAGCTGTGGGAGAGTAGCAGTTGCTGTTGCAGCAGTCCCACAGCAGCATCCGCAGGGCGAAATCCCAGGCCTTTGCCCAGGATAGACACAGGCTGGCTGCCCGTGATCTCTGGCAGCTTTCCATTGCTTGAGTGTTTCCACTGGCATGAGTCTTGCTAAAAAACATGCAGTTTTCCTGCTCAGCCAAGAAGATGCCCAATATGAAGTCAGGTCATTGGCAGGTGTATGTTACAGCTATTGACTTTACACCATCGCAGTGAATTTTCAACCCCTGAGGACAAAAGCTTTTGACTTTTTGCTATAAAATTAAGTAGTTTTATATAATGTCTTGTAGAAAATGTATGTGTAGTGGGCAATATCTGCAGTTCTTATGGAATGATCTGAATTAGAGTAATTCAGCTATTTCAAGCATCTTTATTCTGCAGTATAAAGAAGATTTCTGCAGCTGCGATACATTGGATAGAAAGAGAAAAATATTCCTGTGCCTTGGTAAGAGGGGAAAACATGGGTTAAAAAGTCATTGAACTTGTCAGTCCTCTCCCCTGTTACACACACAGCAGAGAAAAGGCATTTCTAAGAGGAGCTTAAAATAAGAGCTCTTCAGTGATAAATTATTAAAGTGCAGATTGTTAGGCTGGAATTCTAATAACTATAATTTGAAGTCATCTGTCTGACACAGTTCATCCTATCATTAAATTCTTTCTAAAAATTGTTATGTTCTTCAAAAACCAGATAAAGTGCTAAACGGATGGGATGGAAGGAAAGGAACGTGTAATGAAATCTGTCCTTCAGATGCGCTCAGCCCCAGGGCTGCCTGGGCTATGTGTGCGCAGTGTGCAAGTTAACCAAACGTATGGAGGAACCGACAAGCCCTGCATGCATCGCATTCTGTGTCACTGCCACTGCCATCACTGGAGGAATGCAGGAGGCAGCAGCCTTCAAGACAGGAAAGGACTGGACAGCAGGTAGAAAGAAAAGTAGCAGGAAGGAGGCAACTATGTGAAGGCTTTAGGCAAACAGAATATGCTTTGTAATTAGGGTGTAATAAAGGATGTGACACACTTAGTATCTCTGGCGGTAGGAAATACTGCCACCTAATAAGATATTACTGTAGAGCTTGTACTAATTGATGTTATAAGGGATCAAGAGAGTGACTCCGTTTCTTGCATCTAGGTGACTTTTGACAGCATTCATTAACGCTGAGCTACTACTGCAGTCATGTTTCAGAATGAAAATTATAATTAGCCCAAGGAACAGTATGAGTGAAAACAAAATAATTTATAGAGCCATATACACATGGGCATATGTACACTCCAACACATGCTGTGCATACAAATAGTTTTGTACGATGGTTTTTAATGTATCCCACTTTGTTTCAGCTCTTTTCAGTCGTGTGGGAATGCGTTTTCTTCCTACTCAGCTAATTACACAATCCACGTACTCACCCTCAAACTATACATTGTATGATAATAAAATACAGATCTGCTATGGTTTTTGGAAATATTTTACGTACATTTGCAGTGTTCTCAGACAAGTAAACCAGAGAACAGGTATAATTTTGCATAAAAACTTTGTGCAACTGGAATCACAATAATAAAGGCAGTTTGTTGGCTATAAATCATTTAAATACTGTGTTTGTTTATGTATCACAAACAAAGACAGTCAGAAATGATAAATCAAATGCAGAAGAAGAAAAGCCTCTGTGATAACAATTATAATAGGAACAGAAGGTCAATTCCGAGCGATTTCTGCCCTGGTAAAATACTAAAGCCTTCAGAAATCAGTTCATATCTGATGCTGGAGGCAGGTGTCTTGCAAAGATTGTGAGATGAGTATGTCTGCCAACAAGTGTAGAAACAAATGGTACAAATGTTACTTTATCAAATGGCTCATTTACAGAAAGTTTAAAACATCAGCAAGGCAACTAACCCCTTTGAAAACAAAACCTTTGAAAGTAAGAAAACTTTTTGCTTATAGAAGGGAAAAGTTGGTAAAATAAGGAATACGTACTGCCTATTACATATAAAATATGTAACAGGTAATGAGTTTATAGTAGTTTGAGTTATATTAGCTTTTGAAACAGCAGGATTGCACATTCTTGCGTATTTTGGTTTTAGATCTAGAATCTAAACACAGATTGCCTCTCAGTGCAACCTCTGAAATGCTGGATGAAATAACCTTTTATTCCTGATAAAGAATGCCTTTGGAGCTTCTTTAGGTCAGGTCCTATGCCATTTCTGTCCTGGGACACATTCAAGTCACGTGCTTTGAATATGAGAGTGTTAGAAGTCAATCAGCAGTAGCCTTCTAAATTATTTGTTCAGTGAGAGTTATAAAATCCAGAGGGCAATTTGGACTGCATTTAGGGATGACTGGTAAATCAAACCAAAATTTAGCAATTCAGATGCAAGCTGAAGGATATTTCTGCCCTAATTGAAGTGAAGATCAAAATAATAAAACTTACTCTCATGCCTGAACCTTGGTGATTATCTAAATCGAAGACTTAAGACATTTTGTTTTCTCTGTAGACTATTTTTCCCCATCAGAAGCAACTCCCTAAATCTTTTAGGCCAGAACTAAAACATGCATTTTAAGGTGGGCGGTGGTGGTTTTCAAGAGCTTCCGTTTAAGAATGTTAGTTTCAAAGCAATGTGAATAGGAATCTAGCCTAGGCCAACAGCACTCACAGATGCATTTTGTGTACAATAAGCTGTAGTGTCACCTTATTGATGCTATTGAATCCACATCTAAAGGCTTGTTGTATACCTGTTGACTACCATTAAAGTTTGCAATTATGAAAGATGTGCATTTTCTGATTTGTTTATATTTCTAATAAGCTGTGCTTTTCACACTGCTATGTGAAAATCACACCTATTAATATGGCCTCCTACACTAAAAATAGAACTTAAAGTTGTGGTCAGATTAATAATATATGATCATTAGCTCCTTTCTGATCAAGGTCCCATGCAGAAGCAGGATTTTCACACTGTATAGATAACCATCTGAAATTCACCAGTGGCATTGAGGTTTCCAGTTTTTTTCCTGTTTGAGCTGAGCTGTTTTACTATGGGAAAGAGTAAAAAGAACGTGGAATTACATGACTGGCCTTCCCCTCAGTTGCACTCCAGGGTTGTAGAAGCCAGCAATCATGGCCGGCAGAGACCACGCTGGGGAGAAAACAGCCAAAAAAAATAATAAAATACAGTCATAAATTGAAAAACAATAGCCCAAACATAGGGTGAAAGCAGAGCAGGGTAAAATCATGAGCTGGGCATAGCTGAATGGAGTTTTGCCACGTGGGGAATTGGACTGCAGACCTGCATGGTGGTTTTGAGACCAAGCAAAGCTGTATCAGCTTGCTAGAACAAGGCCTGCGTCATCTTCAAGAGGGTAAATGTTACTGCTCCTAGAGATCACTAGGAAGGTTTTAAAAGCCTTCTGGCCTGCATAACAACTATGTTGCGTGGCTGGCAGCAGGAGCTGAGGCTCAGCTCACTGGCCATGTTTGTCGTTCTTAATTGGAAAACTCCCTTGGGTTTCAAGTGTGCTAAACCATTTCTCTCTGTGAGCCTCTGTCAGAAATGCTTCATGCTTCTTCTCTCCTATATAACATAAAAGCTAAGCTGGAGATGCTACTATGTCTTCTTTTCCATTGCGCTGTATGTGGTTAATATGTCAATTTTTGTTTTGTGACTTGTTGCATAAGCATTTTCCATGCCTTCCTCCTGCTGTCACTTGGAGTCTTTCACTTTTTCTTTTTAAAGCTTTCCTATAAAGAGATTGCCTGATTGGTGCTAAGATATTTCAGCCAGCTGACAATTTGGACTGCTGTGAACACAAGCTTCTCTCCATAGACTTCTCTTCTGTTCCCCTTTATTTTGCAGTGTCGGTGCAAAATGAAGCCACAGAAGGGGCTCTAGTTTTCTTTTGTGGGCCGTATGTAACAGACTACACAGAAGGTATAGGGAACTCATGGGACAGTATGTGAGGGCCTTTCATGGCCAAGGAATATGAAGAATTGCTCTGCCTCACTGATTTCTGGTAGACTGGCATGTAATAAGCATAGGATCCACAAGGGCAAAAGGGAGATGTTAGAGCATGTAAGAATCGATAGCTGAAGTACTGAAAATAGAGTGGCAAGGAGTTATTTTTAGCTCATTGGTCTTGTTTCTGTTTTTCTTTTTTTATTAGGAGAAATGAATAGGGAATTAGATCTGTCAGTGTAAGGTTGACTGAACATTACTGTTTTCCTGTAACTACTGTATTTTGTTCGGGAACTCCCCCCAAAGAGTGCAATTAATACTGTACAATGCTTCCTCTAGACTGAAGGGTGGCTTTTGGTTGTTTTTGTTGTTTTTCTTGCTTATGTTGGGGATTTGACTAGGGAGCTCTTCTAACACTTACTGTTTTCCCCTTTTCAGAAAATGTCCTAATGATGCTTCAAAGATAATAGCGCTCATTTGTATTAAAACCACTCTTGTACCTTGGTAAAGAATGAGATTCTGAACCTCGTTGTTTTTCTCACTGGCAGCAAATTGTGGTCAAGGTTGCAAGGATGATGACATGGGCAGCATCCAATTTGTGGGGTTCCCTTTCCAGGGTCCTTGCTCAATTCCATTAATACTTATGTAATCACAGCTTCCAATACCATTGCCATCACATGTCATTTTGTTTCACTGTATTTTAACCTGAAAAAGTTGTTTGATAAGGCTAGGCCCTTAGATGTGTTTAATGATGTGTACGTGGTCGCAATATTTGCTTATATGCTTATTTGTGTATGTGCATAAAATAATTGCAGGAATAGCATTTAAAGCATATGCAAGGTATATGTAAATGTTATGTCTGCATATACATGTAAACAGATGTAAACACTTATGTCATTCACATAGGAGTCACACATAAATATATATAGATTTAAAGTATTATTCTAGATTTTTTGGGGGGGCAGAAAATTCATAATTTTCATTTAATATAACACTGATGAAATCTTATATAATACTGCAAAGTCTTCCATAATTAATATATATAAGACCTGTATGTTCTTCACCTGCAAAGGGTTGACTTGGGCCAAATTTTATTTCTTCCAAAATTTTTATGCTAAAGAAACTTGTGGGAACAAATCTCTGAAAAATAATAGCAGAGTTTTGGGGGTCATAATGGCTGGAGAGATAAAAGAGAAACAGTGCTAGTAGAAAAAGGTGTTTTGTTGTTGTTGTTGTTCTGTTTTGTTTTGTTTTTTAAATCAGATTATTGACACAGTTGGAAAAGGATTTTGGAGCCATCATGTCTTTGAATCTCTGTCTTTGTGGCTGCTATCGAGCCACAGAGTTAATTATTAGTGCCAGTAAAGATAGCTGTACTCAGAATACCTGACAATAATTTAATTTAGGTAACTTTATTTAACTTTGTCCATATTATTTTGATACTTCAGGGTTGGAGGATGCTGTCTCTACTTTCTCTTTTCAAGATTTCTTTTCTGTTTTACCCAAGAATGTGAAATGACTCATTTCCACGTTAAGCACGAAAAGTAACAGCACTGGTTTGGCGTATGCATAAAAGTTAAATTATTCAGGCTTTGGTGGAAACTGTCATAAGACATCCACCTTAGTCATTACTGAAATGTCTTTCAAATGCAGTCTCCTATAGGGTGCACTACACCATTAGCAAACAGGACAAAAATGCAGAACATCTGAGTAGCTGCCAAGTACAAACTCACATAGATCTTCACAATTATTTGTCAAGCCAGGTTGCTGAAGTTATTGCAGCTAGTTTTAATTATGGCTGATGGTATCCTTTGAGGGATTTTTCCTAGTAAAATTCTGCTAGAGTTGTAATAGATCTCTGGCTACCTGGAGTTTTCAAAGTTTGAACAACTTTATTTTATTTTCCTGTTCAAACCTTGATAATGACATATAGCACTGTTCTTTTCTTTTCCAATGGCTGTGTCTGTAATATCTCACTCATAAACCAAAAGACCACATTAAGTGTGTACCTTTCTAATATTAACAGGCTTTGCACTGCATGATTATGGGCAAGCTGTGGCAAGTTTTAAACATTTGAGCTGTGATTTGAATTGGGGGTGATAATGTATCTGTCAGAAGGGTGAACATCAAATGTATGAAATACCACTTTCAGCCCTGATGAAGATCTCTTGTAGTGTAGAAGACACGGTCATTGTAACCAATCCCGCACACATAAACACAAAATGATGCTTGAGTTGCAAGGAATGAAAGTTTTCTTTTATGCTGCTCCCAAATATGCTCCTGTAACCACTTCATTGCTGAAGCCTGCAATGAAGTTTTGAATTGACTGCAGCACCTAATGCCATCTGTTTTTGAGTCACCTTTCAAATCTTGCTGGAGAATATTTTTTTTTTGCAGCAAAAAGTCTCTTGAAAGAAACATTTTATAGAATACATTAGACTACTTATCTCTAAAAGCATCCCATTTAGTGTGAAAACTGAATTAGACTTTAAAAAATAAAAATAAAAATTGACGATGAGTGTGATTCAAGAGAAATTAAGAAGTGAATGCTTAGCAAGACAAATGAAAATGCCCGAACAAATCCTGCTAAAAGAATGTTCATGCATTAGGAACTTGATGCGCTAAAATTTTATTTCTAAAATTCAAAATGTGACACTTCAGGATGTTCCCCAAGGATGCATGTAATTCTGTGATCAGTTTTTAAAACTGATGATTTTCACCTACTCTAGCAAATAATTCAGCCTTTTTTTTTTTTTTTTCTCTTTCTTCTATTGCCAATAATAGCTCTATCTCTAAGTTCTCCAAAATCCATCTCAAACAAGATCATTGTATCCTGTGAGCCATGAAAAGTTGATATGGGAAGAAAGAGAGATGGGAGAAGGTATTTTAGTTTTTTGTATTGGTTTGGGATTTTTTAATAAAGAGCTTCACTTATTTCCTGGTATATCAAAGAAGAAAACAGGCTCAAAGAAGAGACATCTTTATAACAGAAACTTTTTCAATTATATATAAAAATAAATATATATTATTATATATAAAATAAATCTTTCTGCATTTTAAGTACCTTTTGAATGCATAGTTATAACATGTTAATCAT